GGAACTAGTCCACCCGCCACTCGGGACCGACGAGCCGAGCGGCCGAGCCCTCAGGGTCATCAGCGGGAAAGAAAGAGAAGAATATAAGAGAGATAGAGAGATACACGCTATGAACGCCTCTCTAATTGTTTTGAACCAGCGAGAAACGCCCAAACCTGAACCCCATGGGTTTGACTTGGGTCGCATAAATGTCTTGGCATGTTGCATGACTGCCGGAAGTCCAAAAGAAACGAACGGTTTCAACGAGTTAACCTGATTTATTTTGATGAACGCGTATGCCTGTGAAATTGATTCCTGGTTCTCTGTGGAAACAAACACTTTCGATACTGCTGATCATAGTGCTGGCCTTGCCACATCAACTCGGCCATGGAGACGATGAGCGGATACGAGCTGCGTACCGAATGTCACCATTCCGTTTCTCAAATCAAATTTGCCATTTTCAGATGTGGAATGCCGAGGGGAACGAGCTCCCAAGTAGCGGGTAATTCCCTCTTGCCTTATTTTGCTTTTAGTTCTGCTTATAAGACTTTTGCCGACACAAGAGAGTAATTGGAAGAGCCGGGGGAGAGCGGGGCGAGGAGTACGCCTTGTGCGCCACGGCGTACGGACCGAACAAGTCCAGCCGGACGAGCTCTTGCGCAAAATGCCCCTTGGAGCTACGATGAGACATGTTCTCGTTTTTCCTGAAAATAACGAAATTCATCGGTTGCTTTAGCCGCAAGCAGGCTAACTACCCGATATTCACATTCTTGGGGCAGATTATGATCGCACCGCAGCCAAGCAGAAGCTGCGAGCGAAATAAAAGAGGGGAACGGGGACAACACATTCGAAAATTGCGATAATTTTGCTTTTATTGGCTGGCCGTGGCCCCGCCTGCACGCTGGGCGCGAGCGAGTACAAGCGCGCCGGGTTACAGCCCGCAGTATCGTAGAGTGGTACCCGCTGAGCCCCTAAAGGTACCTCTCACCCGAGCCTCGACCAGAGCCCCACTGCCAAAAGTAAGAGTATTTTCTCGCTCACAGCGAACAAATGCCGAGACAAATACTTTCCGAATCGTGGATTACAGAGGCCAGAAGCGGACGACTGCCAGCAAAAGACAATCCAGAGACAACAAATTACATCAAAACTCCCCCACAAAAACTGTCAACTAATATATTCAGTATAAGAAGTCAAAAGCACTGATATTAATGCAAAGTGGTAACAAAACAGGGGCATCGTACAAAAGAGGGCCAGTAATATCGGATGAATCTTGAAAACCCCTTTAATTTTTGATGAGTTTATCCCAGCAGTGTGGAGGTCAGAAGGTGCCGATGAGACCCCAGTTCAAGAACCCCGCTGGGCTGGGCGGGGCGTGGTGAGAGCGGGGGGCCCCGAGTGCCCCTCTGGAGGCCCGGAGCTTCCTGAGCAACGCCCCGCCCCGCCTCGCCGTGCCTCGCCGTATCCCTCCAATTGTAATTATTGATGTCTGCGCCTGTTTCACACGCACGCTGCTCTACGGCCGCGCGGCCGCTGCTCCTCGACGTGTACCGCAAGTATGACAGCGGCCTGCCCCGCCGGTAACTGCACGTAACGGCTGGGAAAGGGTGTATACTTCCACGGAATCGGAAAAATTATGGGAACCGTGACGAGGAAAGTGGGTTACCGCGCCGCGATCGCGTATTTACTGTTGTTGCTAGAATACATAGGGAGCAGCCCGCGACAAAATAAAATGTTAATGAATGTTTTGTCCGGGCCATACCACTTAGCGCTACCAAGTGCTCGTCAGAGATTTCGTGATTCTTCTACCCCCCTCCCCCTCCCCCTAAAATGTAGGTATTCCTAACAAACTATTTCTTGGCTGTGTAGAATTTTCATCGCTCGCGGCGTCCCGTCTTACCTGTTCATTAAAAGTTGGTGTCGCAAACTGATCGAAGAGTAGAACTTGAACTGTAGATTGAGCCATCGTCCACACCAATCGTCCAAAGCCACCCGTGAACAGTATAGCTGCAAATAAAACGCCGCAATTAATAAAAGTTGGAGACAAGTCGGATAAACCTTGCTTCAATTAAATCTTTGGGGATGTTCTGTTTACTCCGCAAGAGAAAGTGTTTCTTTGAATATCTCGTAAATTACGGTGATTCAATGAATCATCATTCATTGCAATGTGGCGTGTATACTTTACAACTGTGGCAGTATTCAGGCGCATACTACTTTCAAAACAATTCTGCACAATAAACAGCACGCCACGAATATTTTCCCTTGAGCGTGGTCCCTCCGCGTGAGCAGCGAGCAGAGAATCGCGCGCACCTTCCGGCCTCCTCTCTATGTCGGCGCGGATATCCCCGCTCCATCCAAACCTCCCGCCCGGCCGGACGGCCGCATCATAGCATCTTTAATAGAGGCGTCAGGGAAACCGACCAAAGATTTTATGCGCGCCGCCAAGCCTTCTCCTGACGGGTCGGACCCGGCGCGGCGCCCGGCGTCTTCATCTGTTAATTGTCTGACGGTTCGTTGAGCCATTCAGACATGCACTTTGGCGAACACGCCATCTCGTCAACGTCACACACAGATCGCTATGCCGCGGTCGAACGTCAGAGAGAGAAGGGGGGTGGGGGAGGGGGCGACGCCGGTGCTAATCGCTTTTATCAGGAGCTACGCCGTCCAGACTGTGAGTGAGTGAATACCCTAAATAACGATCCGAGTATATTTGAACGACAAGGCGTCAAATGCACATTCTTGCTGATTGGAGGGGGTCACATTGAGGTGTGTTTTGCCTAGTTACAGGCATTTTACGAAATCCGGCGCCTACACTCCATGAGGAAGTTGTGCCCCCTCGCGCCGATGTGGCGGCGCCATAGTGGAATTGCATGTTCTAGGATAAATATGCATTCGGCAATCGGCATGCATTAATCGACGCTAAAGGGCGAGACCAACGTCACATGTCCACCTTCACCCCCCCCCCCCCCCCTCTGCCAAGCTCAGAGTCAAACAATGATTAAATCAGGAGGAAATTGCTCTCAATTCGAAGTGTGGAAAAATCTATTCCCCAAAACCAACACTCCCTGAAATGACAGCAGATTTAACAGCAACTCTAACTCTACTGATCTTTCATTATTACCATTTTCCGACCAATTTCAGCACCGCACCAACGACCTTTGCACCAGATGATATTAAATTGTGGTCTAGCATGAGGGGTAGACAGTTATTTGCGGAGTGCCACTTGAGTCTCGATATCGGTTGAAACCAATGGACACGAGGCCATCATTTAGGGTTGCCACATAAAGGTTTTCCATTATTGTTGACACTATTCTCAACAGTGGATTCTAAGATCGCGACTTGCGGCCGTTTTATTCTTGACCACGTTGCTCAAAGTGTGGGAACATCGAGCTCAGATAACCCATGCGCAGACCTTACAGGATGAACTCCTGCATAATCTCAAGAAAAACTGTTTCTGCCACGATGTCCGGCACACACACATTTATGAATCCTAAATTTGCTCGGACTGAAATTTGTTTGGCACACACGTTAGGGTGATGCTTCAGCTATGAAAGCCAATCTTTTACGGTGCGGATGTGACCGATTGTGATTGTGCTGTTTTGACTTGAGCTCCTCTTGCCTGTGTCTGCGCCATTGACGCGTTGTTACGCGACGGGGAATGCTTTACTCTCAGTATTCTCAGTAGTCCCGCGCGGCACGCAGGCGATCGGCCGCCGTGGAGCTGAAAATAAAACGGCTGACAGGAATGAGCTGACCGGACGCCATCTTGGACGCAACTTGATCTGGTTCTTCAGAATGTTGCACAGACCTGGGGAAACTAGTTGGGTTCGTGTGAAGAGTTAAGAGGAGGACTGCTCCGGCAAAAGGACGAGCAGGGAGGAGAGAGAGAGAGAGAGAGAGACGAAGGAGGGAGAGACATAGGCCCGTCCCGTCACCTACACTGTCCTTTCCGGGCGGCCCAGAAACGTGCGAGGAATCCGTTAGGGCGGGCGAGGCTGGCCAAACACCAGTCGGGGGCCCGCGGCCCATCCACGGCCAGCAGAGATGAAATTGGCGATGTTCGTTTTCTAGAATTAGGCCCGGTTCTCGCGCGGGTCTCTGTCGTCGGGTCGGGAGCTTATACACATATTTTGTTTTCGGGGAGTTTTAATCGAATTGTTTGATTTACAGCTTCTGCATCGATCAAGGCTCCAACTAGCGTAAATCACCCGTAAAGCCCAAACCTGCTGTCGTCGTCAGCTGGTTTTAGCCAAACACTAGAAAAATCCTAGTGAAAAAAAAAGCAATGGGCATCAGCTGAGCGCCCCGCCACATCTCTACTGGTCAGGCGATTCTGTATATGAATCCTGCCATAAACGTCGGGACGGCCGTTAAGGCAAGCGGGTCAGGATCCACGACATGGGATGCTGGGCCGGAGCCGCGCCGCAAGCTGCCGCGGCCTGGCTGGACCGCGCTGCCCGCGCGAATATGTTAGCCATCATGATAAACTGATTAGGTCGGGTTTACAAAAATGATGCGCAATGAATAATGATAATGATGACGATGATAATGAAAGGGAGCTCGGGGCGGCGGCGCGGCGCAAACCGGTACGAGTCTTGGTCGTATTGGAGTGACACATCGCATCACGATGCACGCAGGTGCAGCCGGCGGTGCAGGCAGGCCCAGCCCAGCGAGCAAGGCAAG